GGGAGCGAAAGAGTCCACAAAGGGATTTAATGTGGTTTAACTGATTTACTCATCGGGGTTCATCTCCCCAGCGTCCCCAGGCAGACATGCCCTGAGTCAGAGCTGAGCCCATGCTCCCAGAAGTCTGTAAAGGGGGCTCTGTGCTATGGGAAGTCCCGACCACACTCCAGAGCAATGCTAGTCCCCACATCTTAGCAAATTTCCAGTGCAGGGAATGATATCCCAGACCCCTAAGGCCTCCCCTGGAAACTCCTCCTGGAAACAGTCCTCTTCTTTGCTTCCCATCGCATGCAGTGAGGCTGAGAAATAACCGCTACATTGCGCCCCCGAGGTAGCTGCATCTTCAGCACACATACTGCATGCTGCACAGCATCTGTGAAGTGCTTTCAGACCTCCTGGGCTGAAAGGCGCTATAAGAAACATGACCATGTCCATCACGAATGCATGGCACAGAAAACATCCACAGTGGGAGGGGAGGGGGCTGCTGGCACCCTGGCTCCCCTATGCCCAAGACCAAAGTCTGGCACAGGCCCCTACACTGCATGCAAGTCCATGCAGTGATGCTATAAGAAGGCATATTTCTAAAGCCTCCAGCCCCATAGCCTGCAGGTCACATATTGCATAGCTACTGCCTGAAGAGAGGAACCATTTCTCTGCACTCCAAGCAACATGAGATGCCCCCCACACATCCCATGTTTGACCCATGCTCGCTCTCTGAGCCTTTTTTTCCTTGTCTTCCTGTAAGTCTTTCCTCTGGCAGCTCACAGTCTTCACCCCGCTCTTGCTGAGGCACTTGTCCACGTCCATCGAGTGCCTGTGACTAGGAAACTGCCACCTGGCCCTAGGGATGGTGGGAGGATGCTGGAGGGCGGAGGGGATGCGATCTCCAGTGGCAATGCCATTCTTCTTGGCTTCAAGCATTTGAAGAGGCAGACAGGCCAACGCATGTCTAGGGATCTCTGCTGTGATCCAACCTGCGAGGCAGTGACCAACCCCCTCCCAGGGAGTGCAGGCAGCACACAAGGCAGGCTCCTATTTCAGATCCAGCATAAAAGCACCTCTGTGGTCGGCCTCCCCGGCGCAGGAGCCACCCCACCCAGGGCCGTGGGAAGCGGGCAGACCACAAGGACACTGAGGAGTCATTCAGTCCCCATCACAAGGCAGGAAGGGAGGGGAGTGCAAACTGCACATCACTCTCCCTGGGGACACCCAGATCGGTGAGGGGAGGAGAGTCCTAGAAAGCTAGCCCTGTAAGCTATCCGGGCCACAGGCACTTTGCCCTCGGCGTTCAAACTTCTGCTCCTCTCCCAGGGCCCCAAACACATTTCCTCTTCAGTAACGGTTGGGCACAAGGGCTCCTAGCACAAAAATGCCAGACTGCTGCATAGCAGATGGCAATGTGCTTCATGCCAGAGTCCATCACCAGCACATAGTCTCTCGATCGCTCTGCTATCAATATCTGCCCCTCAGCTGACATGACAACTCTTTAAAAGTTAAAATGAAGGCTCAGGAGGGGGAAGTAGAAGCTTTCTCTTCCAGGACAGGGATTTCAGTTCTGCTGAAGCAGTGATCAGTGCAGCCCCACACGACAGCTGCTCAACGGTCTTTGTCCTTACAGAACCCACCTCGTCACCCCAAATCTACTATCACAGCGGCAGCCCATGCAGGCAGAGATGATAAGTGCTACCGGATAAAGTCCCTCTTAAAGCCCTGGCCACAGTTCCAGCCTAGGCATGGGGGTAGGGGCTAACACCTGCAGCCCCGGGACCCGCGGGGCTCTGGACAGGCAGGTACCTTATCATGGAGGCAGGTTGGATACAGTGATAGCACACACCACCCTAAGCTAGCCTCCCCTGCCAGTAAGCAGGATCACTTCCAATTTGGAAGCCACCCCTCTGATACCGAGGACCGGCTCTGCCAGCAAGCTAAGACACTGGAGGGTGAGACAGCCTGGCTCCTACCTTCATTTCCAAACCAAATCATCAGGTCCCCAAGCCACTCTTGTGATCCGATTGCAGTAGCTGCAGGGTGTGCCGGCAGGGATACAAATGCTCTGGACACCGGCCCACTGACTTCTGTATCATGGAGATAATTGGGCTAGTTTCAATGGTTGCTCAAGGGAATGGGGTGTGCGGGGGAGGGCAGGCTGCTAGCCAGACGGATGCATAAATTCGAGAGAGGTTTCCATTAGGGCACTAAGAACTGAAGGAGCCAGCAGCGCCAGGACACTGATGGGGTGGATGCAGCAAGGTCTCATGCTGCTGGGGTAAGGCTGATAGAAATGGCCGGATGCCCTCAGGATCCTCAGCTGTAAGGGCAAGGGATTGTGACAGCGGGTGCCTGGAGCCCCTGGGCAACGCAGAGCCCCCCTGAAGCCCCACTCAGAGCTGAGGCTTGAGCCTGCCAAGCCCTCCTGCGTCTTGGCAGTGCCTGCAGCCAGTCCCCCACCCCCAAATCCTACCACCATCAGGGGAGCGCACCCTCTCTACCTGCCTAGCTTATGCTGCCCGCGCAGTATCAGTAAAGCTTTTCCCCCCTGCCATTGCTCAGCCGCTGGACAGACAGCTCTTCCCAGGCCCCCAGGCTGGGCAGGACGCAGCGGATTCAAGACAGGGCACGGTGCGGGGAGCAGGGGCTCAGCATTCACCGCCGGAGCGTGGAGGTTGGCCCCTATCAATGGCAGCGACACTCCTGGCAGACCCCACCGTGACGCTGGCTGCGCTGGTCCGGCCGTGCCCAGAGTAACAAACTGCGGGTAGAAAGGTGCTGCTCACGGATGGCGCTGTGCCCCGTGCCAGGGCTCTGCCCCTCGGGTCTCGGGGCCTGGCGCTGGCTCTGCGGTGGGGCTGTCCCATCCCGCAGAGGGTCCCACGCCGCTGTCATCACCGCAGCACCCGAGTCTCTTTCAGCTTAACGTCGGGGCAGCGGCAGCGCCTTACGTTCGGGGTTTCTTCCCTCCACGCGTGCCCGGGAGGCCCAGCTCGATGGAAGCCGAGGGGGCCGGGGAACCATGGGGCTGGAGGGGCCTGCGGCAGGATCATCCTCCCCAAAACCATCCCGGGCAGGTCCGAACTCTTCCTGGAGCCACAGGCCAGTCCTGTCACGCGGCCGCGAGGCGCAGCACGACCCGCTGACCAACGGGCGGGCGTGGGGCCTGGCGGCTAATCCCCGGGGCTCGTGGCACCGAGGGATGTGCCGGTCCCAGAGCCGAGCTGCGGTGCTGGAGGGGGGTCCAGCCTGGGGGGCACACCCAGTCTGGGGCATCCCACACATGGGGGGGTCCCGCACACACCCCTCAGGATCCCCCACACGCCCCCCTTGTGGCACACACCTGTGGGGGGTCTTGCACACACCCCTCAGGATCCCCCACACGCCCCCTTGTGGCACACACCTGTGGGGGGTCTTGCACACACCCCTCAGGATCCCCCCCTCAGGGTCCCGCGCACACGTACCTGCGGCCCCGCGCTGTCCCGCTCGCGCTCCGGCTGCGGCTCC